TCAGCGAGGGGAGCTGGCGGAGCAATGATGAAGGATATGAGATCAAAAGCGACACCGACTGTTCTCCAGACTGTCGGGTCCTGGGCTATGGAGCTGGACAAGGATGACAGGGCGGCTGAAGAAGAGATGCGTAAACTAGGCTCACGACGAAAGGAGACCGAGATCGCTGGCAAAGCACTGGATGCTTTGAAGAAGCGTGCAACTCCCAAGGAGCGTGTCAGTCCTCAGGAGGCCATTCGAATTGCCATGTTGAACATTTATGAGCGAGGCGAAATCATTGACTACAATGACATTTACTTTTGCGGAACTCAAAACGCTCGCAAGATTATCGGGAACCTGCAGACGAATGCACCAAATTTCGGTTATGACGATGAGCGAGGCGATTACACCATTGTACCTGGTGATCACCTTTCGTACAGATACGAGATTGTGGATGTTCTCGGCAAGGGAAGTTTCGGACAGGTGGTGCGATGTATTGACCACAAATCTGGCAATCTCGTCGCCATCAAGATCATCAGGAACAAGAAAAGGTTCCACCAACAAGCACTTGTGGAGGTCAACATTTTGGCAAAACTTCGCGAATGGGTAAGTTTGAATGCGTCGACTAAAATTGCCCCTCTACGTCCTCTTGATCCTAAGTTTTTGTTCCTCTGCTCTCTTTTTTGGCCTCTTTGCTTCAAACACCTTACTAACTGACGTTTCGATAGGACCCGAAAAACAGGCACAGTATGGTCAACTTTACACAAAGCTTCTACTTTCGCGGTCATCTCTGTATATCTACTGAGCTCTTGGACATGAACCTTTACGAATTCATCAAGGCGCACTCGTTCCGAGGATTTTCTTTGAAGATTATTAGGAGGTTCACAAAACAAATACTGTCCTCTCTGGTTCTTTTGAAGCAGCGCAAGGTCATCCACTGTGATTTAAAACCCGAAAACATTTTGCTGGGACACCCACTTCAATCAGAGATCAAGGTCATCGACTTTGGGTCTAGCTGTTTCGAACACGAAAAGGTCTACACCTACATCCAGTCACGATTCTATCGATCTCCCGAAGTTATCCTGGGCATGACGTACGGAATGCCCATCGACATGTGGAGTGTCGGCTGTATCCTGGCAGAACTATACACCGGGGTGCCTATTTTCCCCGGTGAAAATGAGCAGGAGCAACTGGCCTGCATCATGGAAGTATTTGGTCCTCCAGAGAAGCATTTGATCGAGAAGAGCACGAGAAAGAAGCTCTTCTTTGACTCGATGGGCAAGCCCAGGTTGAATGTCTCTTCCAAGGGGCGTAGACGTCGGCCTTCGTCCAAGACACTGCAACAGGTTTTGAAGTGTGACGACGAAGTGTTCATCGACTTTATCGCTCGTTGTCTGCGCTGGGACCCGGAAAGACGCCTTCGGCCCGAAGATGCTGTTCGCCATGAGTTCATCACGGGTCAGAAGACGCCTATAGCCATACCCCGATTGTCAGCGAGAGATTCTTCGCCATCAAAGCGTGTCACTTCATCTTCAGCCCCACGTCCGCTCCCGGAACCGCCAAATGCCGCCATCAAGAGCGTCGTCACCACGATGCGAACTGGTATCAGTCCCCACAAGCCAGTCTCTGGCTCTTCACGAAGAGCTTCTGGAGCTACTGGTGCGACGGCTGCCAGCATTAGCAGGCGAACAAGTGGCGGCGGATCAATCAGCAGCATCAGCAGTTTACCTCGGGCAGCCGGTCGAGTAGTCAGTGGAAAACAAGATCTAGCGGCGGCTGGCGCGTCCGCAGCCATGGGTCGAAGAGGATAACATTTTCCTATTCATGGAGCACAACGTACCTTGGCGGATTGTCAAATTGTTTTCCTGGACAGGGAATCCGGTGGGAGAAAGCAGATGCAGCGCAAGATTCCACCAACTTTCATCAAGTCGAGACAGCTGGGCAAGCAGCGGATCAGAATTCGCGCCGGTCTGTCATCAAGTACGAGGCATGCATCCATGCTCAGAGCGATCACTCCGTGAGGGCGTCAGTATTGCAATGCGTGTATCTCGTGAGACATTGTCGCATTTCCAATCATTCACACGCACAACACACTTGTATATATCACTTCATTTCTCTTTTTGCTCAACTATACCACAGAGAACGAGGGCGGCAGCAATTTTTTTTGAAGCACCAATCGAAAGTCTACACTCAAACGGCGGTCCGTCTGGCATGCAGGATTGAAGGCATTGTGACGGGGGACGTGAGCCATGCTGCATAGGCGAACGAGTTACTGGCTGGGGTTTTGTTGTAATGGTCGATTTAGCAAGCGTAGGTGGGGGATGAGAATGGCCAAGAACGGGATTCCCGCGTATGTAGAGGGCTCTTGTTGGCGTTTTGTCCTACCACGACGTGTACACCACAATACGATGTACACTACTTTTTTTTTTTGGCGATGAGGTTGTCTGAGAAACGATAATGTTGCCACCTGCTGTCTGCGACCTGGGCAAAAGCAAAGGGCAAGCATACGGTTTAGGGAGCGTCAGCGTCTTATTTGGGGGGGGGGGGGTTGGAAATGCAGCGGTCGGATCGCATAAACCGGGACATTTGCTCCGCAATGTAAGATGAGTTGTCGTTGTTGTTGTTTGGGCGAAAGAAAGTAGATGGATGGATGGATGGATGGATAGACGGGCTATACTGGGGTCAACCGTCTTGGCTGAGTTGTGTGAAATAGAGAAGTCAGTAGGAGAGTAACTAAGAAGCACATATAGAATGTGAAACAAAGAGGCGCGTAGAGAGACAGCTACGCCAAGAACGTCATGCAAGGCCCCCCACGTGGAAATGCACGCTGAAATGGCTTGATGAGAGCGAAGTCAGCTAGGTAAAAAGCATCAGAATGAATCGATCGATCAAGGTCTTCGCTGTCCAGCTCGGTAACTAGCTTTAAAGGTACCTCCGTACATACGATCAAATAGAATCATAGATAGATATATGTACATCTTCTCTGCATTGTCGGAGCGAAGATTTCAACCGATGGCCAGTGTAACGTATGATTGTATGTATGTACTCCGTACGTAGTTGTACTTCACAAAATCCTTGGTGCTACGTCTACGCATGGCTAATTATGCGCGAGAGCCGCTGAGCTGGGCTGATTCAGTGTGGTAGCGTCTGTGAGTCGTTGTTCTGGCGAGCAAATCCCAGCATAGCCACGCGACGAGAGAGGGGCAGGGACAGGGACAGGGGAGGCTTCGTCGAGGACTCGAGATGCACAGAATGACGACGCTTACTGAAGATGAGATACCGCTTTGCCTAGATGGATTTAACTTGTAATAAGAGCGAATGTCTTGCCAGTGAATGCGGGGATGGGCAGGGCTGAATAATTTGGGTACAGTATGTACAGCGTTTGCACGAGGAATGACATGTCTAGTTTCTCTCTTTACGAATACATACAACTATGTACCTAGGAACGGAGGGAGTTGGAAGAAAAGGCCGTGGCGACATCATGTATACCTTTCCATGCGCCAATAACGGAGGCCGCGCATCTATAGGGCGTTCGGGATGGATGGATGGATGGATGGATGGATGGATGGATGGATGGATAGATAGATGGATGTTAGGTATTTGGATGGATGGATGATCAGCAGTCCAGTGTTGCTTCCATGATGCCATTCCAGAATCGTGGGGACACAGCGCTAGGACAGGGATCTAGAGAATTCCGGGTCCAGAGGCAGCGCAGACGAAAGATTCGTTCTGCCTTGACTCTTGAGAGCCTGCCGCGAGATGAGGACTAACCTCCCCTCTCTCCCGACGCCACCATGTCTTTCGCGAGCTGAACCTAGGGCCCATGTCCATGGACCTTTTTCATGCTGGTGTTGGGACATGTCAATAATCTATCTTTGCAAGCCTAGACGCAGAGCACTCATGCATGCATGATGTTGTTCCATAGGTTGGCTTACAACTCTCGGCCTGCCCAAATGTATCAAAGACTCAGGGATGATGATGATGATGCAGGTCAGGACTCAGCACAGCGAAAAACGTGGGAACCAGGTTCATGGAACCAGAGTTTCACGCTTACATATTATCCCTGCTGCGCTACCAATGTCTCATGCAGACTGCAGTTGCTTTTGCCTCGTCTCTCTCTCCCTCTTCTCCGTTCTCGCAAAACCCGTCATCGCTGTCATCATTTTCCATTTCTGTACCGTTTCATAGACCCGACTGTCACAACGCACCAAGTCTTGTATGATTGGGAGTCGTATCTGCCATGCTGCGTGGTTTTGTGATGAGAGGACGTGTCAGTTTTTCCATGCGCCGGCTGCGCGAAAACTTTCCACACAGGAAGAACTTAACTACATAGAAGGCATTTGCGCGCTGCGCGGGAAGTTTTCGTTAGACCGAAAGTCCGAGGCGGCGAGGCCGAAGAAGATATGGACTACATACTCCTGAAGAAACGTGGTGAGCGTAGCTTGTCAGAGATTAGCAGGACTGCGGAAATGACGGCAAATGTAAGATTCCTTGGCGATGGTCTCGCCTCCACCACCTACATAGTAGTGTTGATTTGGGATTATCTCTAGGAGTCGAGCGGTTCTATTGCCGTTTGTACTTGTTGAAACTTGAAACTCGAGAGGAACCGTTCGAACGATTTGACACCCCCCCCCCCCTCCCGTCCCGCGGGCTGGGCCGAGGCTAACGGCGGAAAATTGGCGACGTGGTCCTTGGAGGCCGTTACGCTCATGCATGTACCCATGTGTGTAACATGTACATATGTACACCGTACACCCAGGTATATATGTACGGAGTACCTAAGTTGCATGCACCTACGGAGTATCCTCCTTCACTTCATTGTCGCCATATTATTATTTACGTATGTACTATGTGGATACAGTGTCTCCAAAGCTCCCAAATTCTCAGTGTCACACGTCACACAATGGCCATGAAGGATCTTGAGCCTGGCAAGGTGACAGAGTTCAGAACTCGACCTGTCGCACGAAGGCGACAAAGCGTTAGACATTTTGAGACTTTATTCTAGCCCCACTATTATGCAAGGCGCTGTGGCGGAGTGGTCCAACGCGAAAGACTCGAATCTAGCAGCGCGACATCTTTTCCCTTCGGGGGCACCGGTTCGAATCCGGTCGGCGTCGTCCGATTTCTTTTTGCCTCTACGGAGTATGTACTTGCCTCTACTTTGTTTTGGTTCCACTGCGTTGCAATTCTGCTCGACTTGGAAGTTGAAATGGCCATCGGACGACTTTCTATCCAACCGTTGAAGGGTTTATTGAAGCCTGACACACAATCACACACAATCACACACAATCACACACAGACTCACCCGCACACCTCTCTGCCCTGGAAAGTTGAAACCCCGGCTTCTGCGTAATGGCTCCTCCAAGGACCAAGGGATAATGACAGCAATGACAGCAAGCCTGCTGGTTGCCGTTCTGGGACAATGCTTCGCCCAGAGAGGGACTGCGCCAACGGCAGGGCGCCTAACATGTGCCTGAGTTGGACCCAGTTGCATTCATGTGCGGCGCGTGGGTGCATCAGAATCACACTTTTTATCCCTTTTGACCATCTGCGATTATGCTCCGAGAATTGCCTAGGTTCATAGGTAGTCGAAGCTGCTCGTCGTCTGCGGTCATGTCAGGTCGTACTGGTCGTACTGGTCGACAGCCTCGCCTTACCTCCTCTTTGGCTGGTAGCGTATTGGTGATGGCTTCCCCCAATGTTTGTTGTCCGTTTCCACGGCCGAGGTCTTGAGGGCGTGTCGATAGATTGTATATATGTACTCTGACGGCGCAAGAAGCTGCTTGGTCACTGCGGCTTGCTTTGTTCGCGTTCTCCTTGGGCCTTGCATTTTGCCTTCCCTTTCGCCTTTTGCAGCTTCCTGGATTGTCGTACTTTCCTCGGGCCTGTCATTTCCAATTTGCTATAAGGCTGCGATGCCTCGATGCCTCGAAGCCTCGAAGCCTCGATGCACTCCTTCACCAGTGCTCGTTTCTCTGCATCCATGAAAAGCTTACAGTGTTACTTGTACGACGTCTTCTGCTATACCGTCTCTCTCTATTCATCTTACAACCCCCCACCTTGCGCTTCTTGCCATCTCAATTCAACTCAAGCTGTTGTTGTAACTTGTCCATCTCACGTTACCTGCATCGGCCAAATAGACAGCATCTCTTGTCCAGCTCATACTTCATCACGCTAGCAGCCAGCACCTGCCGCGAGATTACCGAGCCCCTGGGTCATCGACATCGACAGGAGGAGGCGCAAATTTTCCAAGGCATCTCCTTTGCTTGACTGCGCGCCTTACCCACGGCTTCTAAGACAGCGGGCGCCAACAAGGGGTTTTCTTGGCGCGGGCTTTGACACCGCGAACCCGCACTCGCACTCGCACTCGCACTCGAGTGACTCACCTTTACACAGACCGTTTTCGAATAGCGCGTTTCCAAAACTCTCACCTTACGCGTAATAACATGTGCTATAAACTGACTGAGGTTTTCTCGGCATGCGGCTGCATCCACTACGAGCATGCACTTGATCAATGTGCATCCCACGGCGTATCTGGTCATGTTGTCCAGGAACGTATCATCACTGTCGGATACGCATGCGACGCACATGCTGCTCGACAAGCCTGGCTCGATGCACAACAACAATACTATAATCCTCCGGGATCAGGATCGGGCAAGGCCCCTCGCAGAATAATTAGGAGAAATTAAGCATGATGACTTTTTGTTCTTGGTCACAGGACGGCGCTCTTGAGGTTCTCAAGTGCGGAGAAGCTGCCGGCACGCTTTTTTTTTTTTTTTGGGTCCGTCATGAGTGTCAGAGATACTCCTTTCGAAGGCTTGACACAGAGAAACAATCTTGAGACGCTTATAGCTCCTCGTTGTTGACGTTGTGTCTTGCTCGGGATCACGATGAGCGCCGATGGCCGTGCTGAAGGCATGATATCTCCCGTGACAATTGGGAGTCGTGGCGTTTCTTGCTGCTAATGGGACAGAATACATTGTCTTACATTGGCTATTTCACCCATGCTTTGCTACGCTCGATGGCTCTTGGTCTCATTTTCTTTGTACTTTGTCTTTCTCAGGGGGTAGTAATTTTTCAACATTTTCTTTTTCTCAGCACCGCGGGTTGGTCGTTTATTTTTCTTGGCACAAATGTAGACAGGATCTTTCCTGTCCTCGCAAGTATGATATCACCAGTGTCGGGTTTGGAGAGCCAAAGTCCGCCATGTCTGTGCTGGTCGCAGCAACAATATGGCGACGGTTCGGGAATTTGTCTGACATGTGCATTTTTGACTTTAGGCAGTCTCGTGACACTGGATGTCACACTTGAGCGAGCGAATACGAAGAATCGATACTTCTCTATCAGTGTATGCCAGACATTGCAAAGCCTTGGTGCATTGTTTCTTGCATCACGATTCAAGAGGGAGACTGACTTTGAAAAGCGGAGGTGGATCGGAAACGTTACAGCAGTCCCCGCCATTTCCAAGTTTTCAAGTGGGGTTTCCAGCTTGCAACTGTCTTGACTCTTGACTCCGAGTCTCAACTTCCAAGGCTTGCGAATCTGCGATGAACTTTACTGGGGAAGCGCACATTGTCATCAAGTCATCAAGTCATCAACTGAAGAAGAGTGGACATCACCTTCCTTCTTCCTCAGCTGTCAAGGCGATGGCTACCAATTGGCCTCTTTCGCGAGCCGAGAGGCCGTTCAACGAAGCGTGGATTGGGCTTGATGATCAGTGAGGGGAGGCATGTCGAGTTCTTCGGTGCTCCTTCCTGTATTTGTCGCGATGAGTCTAGTCCCTTGGCCCTTTCTCGGCTCATTGTCAACACTCAATTACGTCTGTGGTAGAAACGAAACATGCTTCACCCTCGCTTCAACTCCTCTCTCCTCCAACATCGCACTCCTTTGTTCACGATCCCGCCCTCACCATCCTTCAAAACAGCTCTTTTCCTGGTCCATAGGACCAAATAGCATTTTACAATTAATTATAATTAGATCAACCTTGGCCCTCGCGGCTTGTAGACCTCTTCGTCCGTTTCTTTGTATCATGACATTGAACATCCTTTCCTTACATATTCAACTCTATTCGTCCTTGGAACGGGTCGCTTCTGCCTATCATCATACGGCCTTATCAGTTCTCGTTCCCTGTCCGCTACGGTCTTCATTGTCATCTGCAACTGTTTGTCACTCAGGAGATCCTTCTCAGTGTTCCTCAACTTTCAAAAGGATACACCGCGCAATCAAGGTACGAAAGAAGCTTCTGGGATCGCTAACTCCTTCACGTGGAGCTGATGCCCTTTGAAGCTGTTGTGACGCCAAAGATCTTGCATCTGGCATTATCATTCTTATACCCATGCCGTTGGGAAAGTGCTGTCTCTTGCTAACTCTAAGAATGAAGCCGCTGACTCGCATTAAGCGTCGCCTTGCATCTCATCGTTGCCAATGGCGAAAGTAACGAATCCTCCCGAAATGCCTGCACGAGCGACGACATTGGCGGAACGTTCAGACAGCGCCTCGCAGCAGTCTGCGTCTCAAGTAGGATTGCACTTTGTATTTCCTCATACTGTCCGTCAATCAAAGGCTCGGCCAGTGGGAGGTGGGCATTCGGTGCATGGAGGCAGCGAAAACGCAAACAGTTAGAAACCGTACCATCGCCTAGCCTACGTCAAGGCAGCTCCCTATGACCCAAACAGCGACGTGAATAGTTCTTCAGATCAGCAAGATGACTTCGTACTATCTCCCTCATCAACCATGATAGATGCGGAAGATTCTTCAGTCACGTCTGCAGGCGCGAATCTGACTACTGGCCTAGATGCTAATTCTGATGACTCTCATCTCTTGGACAGATGCCTCGGCACACCCAAAGTAAGGCCCTTTTTCAAGTCATCAGGAACAAGTCAGACTCGCAACAAGGCGGCTGTCTCATGTCGAGATTATCTACACGTGCCGGTCTCAAAAGCTCGACCATGCCCTCCGCACACCACTGGAGACAGTTGGACCTCAGGCCAGCGACTTTCTGAACCCAAGGTACAGACAGCTCTAGCCGTTCAGACTTCTGGTGCACATCAAAAGGCCGACTATTCTTCGGGCCCTGGCTCTGAATCTGTTGTCTTTCTGCCGGTCAGCCCAATTGATCACGGAGACAGATTCTCTAACCCGACGGACTCCCTCAACGGCGACCCTCGTCCAGGTGTCAACCAACAGTCACATACTACCGACGGTGCTGCTCATCCGGTGAAAGTCATGACTAGTGATGCTGCGTCGACGGCCAAAGGATCCGAAAGTCGCACTGTCGAGCTCATGTCGGATTTCGCGCAAACGCAACGGCAGCGCACATCAATCCATCAAAGAACAGTGCCAAAGGGGTGCGATCATGATTCAGATGCTGACACTGTCGTTGGAGCCCGGCAGGAGCGCCCTCGCCTAGACTCTCGCACTTTGCCACGCTGCGAACATGGAGGTCCAGCATCGCATGAGCCAAACACGTACCCTATACATGACACACCAGCGTCCATGGCCCTTCATTCTCCGATTCCAGTTTCCAAAGTGAGGCCATTTCTCGATCCCTTAGAGTTCACGAACAAGTACAGAAATCATGGTCACAGTTTGGTTCCGAAGATGAGGCCAGCACATGGCATCAGCAGTTCAAGGCCATCACTAGGAGAGCAGGCTGGTCCTGGTAATCGTGATGAGCCAAAACTAGCTCCGTTACCTGCTTCCAGCTCCGCATCCGACAGTAATCAAGCTTCGCACAGCCTATTTGACCACAGACGCACCAAGAGATGGTTGAAGGATGTGTTGAAATATCCAGAAAATAATGCGCCACAGTACACCAAAAGACCGAGCAATCACCATGAGAGAACTAGCAACACTTCACCAGATGTTCAAGACGGACAGTTGGAATCCGCTCCGATTCCCCCCTTACCTTCCAAACTGCACGCAATGGCAAACGTCTCTTCTGAGAAGCCGTCTGGTGGGTTCGATCGCCTTGGTTTCAAACGCGCCGTGAGTGACCTAGAAAGACTATTGGGCGAAGCGCTTTCCATCGCGTCTCAAGTTGTCGACCAGCCGACCTCAACGGTGTCGCAAGAGCCGTACAAACAGCCCTCTATCAGCCTGCATTCCCATTGTCGAA